ATAAACTGTCTTCTACCATAGCTTCCTAATGCAAGTTTATAATAAACTGTTTTCCACCATAGCTCCTTTATGCAAGTGTTTTTTCAACTGTCTTCTACAGCAGCTCCTTAATGCAAGTGTTTTATAAACTGTTTTCCACCATAGCTCTTTAATGCAAGTGTTTTATAAACTGTCTTCTACAGTAGCTCTTTAATGCAAGTGTTTTATAAACTGTCTTCTACAGTAGCTCTTTAATGCAAGTGTTTTATAAACTGTCTTCTACAGCAGCTCCTTAATGCAAGTGTTTTATAAACTGTCTTCTACAGTAGCTCCTTAATGCAAGTGTTTTATAAACTGTCTTCTACAGCAGCTCTTTAATGCAAGTGTTTTATAAACTGTTTTCCACCATAGCTCTTTAATGCAAGTGTTTTATAAACTGTCTTCTACAGTAGCTCTTTAATGCAAGTGTTTTATAAACTGTTTTCTACAGTAGCTCTTTAATGCAAGTGTTTTATAAACTGTCTTCTACAGTAGCTCCTTAATGCAAGTGTTTTATAAACTGTCTTCTACAGTAGCTCTTTAATGCAAGTGTTTTATAAACTGTCTTCTACAGTAGCTCTTTAATGCAAGTGTTTTATAAACTGTCTTCTACAGTAGCTCCTTAATGCAAGTGTTTTATAAACTGTTTTCCACCATAGCTCCTTAATGCAAGTGTTTTATAAACTGTTTTCCACCATAGCTCCTTAATGCAAGTGTTTTATAAACTGTCTTCTACAGTAGCTCCTTAATGCAAGTGTTTTATAAACTGTCTTCTACAGTAGCTCCTTAATGCAAGTGTTTTATAAACTGTTTTCCACCATAGCTCCTTAATGCAAGTGTTTTATAAACTGTTTTCCACCATAGCTCCTTAATGCAAGTGTTTTATAAACTGTCTTCTACAGTAGCTCCTTAATGCAAGTGTTTTATAAACTGTTTTCCACCATAGCTCTTTAATGCAAGTGTTTTATAAACTGTTTTTCCACCATAGCTCCTTAATGCAAGTGTTTTATAAACTGTTTTCCACCATAGCTCTTTAATGCAAGTGTTTTATAAACTGCCTTCTACAGTAGCTCCTTAATGCAAGTGTTTTATAAACTGCCTTCTACAGTAGCTCCTTAATGCAAGTGTTTTATAAACTGCCTTCTACAGTAGCTCCTTAATGCAAGTGTTTTATAAACTGCCTTCTACAGTAGCTCTTTAATGCAAGTGTTTTATAAACTGTCTTCTACAGTAGCTCCTTAATGCAAGTGTTTTATAAACTGTCTTCTACAGTAGCTCCTTAATGCAAGTGTTTTATAAACTGTCTTCTACAGTAGCTCCTTAATGCAAGTGTTTTATAAACTGTCTTCTACAGTAGCTCTTTAATGCAAGTGTTTTATAAACTGTCTTCTACAGTAGCTCTTTAATGCAAGTGTTTTATAAACTGTCTTCTACAGTAGCTCCTTAATGCAAGTGTTTTATAAACTGTTTTCCACCATAGCTCCTTAATGCAAGTGTTTTATAAACTGTTTTCCACCATAGCTCCTTAATGCAAGTGTTTTATAAACTGTCTTCTACAGTAGCTCCTTAATGCAAGTGTTTTATAAACTGTCTTCTACAGCAGCTCCTTAATGCAAGTGTTTTATAAACTGTTTTCCACCATAGCTCCTTAATGCAAGTGTTTTATAAACTGTTTTCCACCATAGCTCCTTAATGCAAGTGTTTTATAAACTGTCTTCTACAGTAGCTCCTTAATGCAAGTGTTTTATAAACTGTTTTCCACCATAGCTCTTTAATGCAAGTGTTTTATAAACTGTTTTCCACCATAGCTCCTTAATGCAAGTGTTTTATAAACTGTTTTCCACCATAGCTCTTTAATGCAAGTGTTTTATAAACTGCCTTCTACAGTAGCTCCTTAATGCAAGTGTTTTATAAACTGCCTTCTACAGCAGCTCCTTAATGCAAGTGTTTTATAAACTGCCTTCTACAGTAGCTCCTTAATGCAAGTGTTTTATAAACTGCCTTCTACAGTAGCTCTTTAATGCAAGTGTTTTATAAACTGTCTTCTACAGTAGCTCCTTAATGCAAGTGTTTTATAAACTGTCTTCTACAGTAGCTCCTTAATGCAAGTGTTTTATAAACTGTCTTCTACAGTAGCTCTTTAATGCAAGTGTTTTATAAACTGTCTTCTACAGTAGCTCCTTAATGCAAGTGTTTTATAAACTGTCTTCTACAGTAGCTCCTTAATGCAAGTGTTTTATAAACTGTTTTCCACCAAAGCTCCTTAATGCAAGTGTTTTATAAACTGTCTTCTACCATAGCTTCCTAATGCAAGTTAATAATAGTCTCTTTTCCACCATAGCTCCTTTATGCAAGTGTTTTATAAACTGTCTTCTACAGTAGCTCCTTAATTCAAGTATTGTATATTTACAAAAGCGAAAGCTCTGTGGTCGCTCCACTCATATTCAGGAATCTGCCATATTAAATTATAACAAAGAAAACAACTTATTTGTTCAAAGCATCATTATGCCTGATGAATCAGCCAGATTTGATTACAAATAAAAGCATAAACAAGCCAAAAACAAAAAAAATAACAAACATATGAAAGTTTTAACATAAACAAAATATGAGCAAGCAATGAAGAGGGAGTATCTGCTGACTCAGTGATGTCTGACAATACCACAGGTTTCTGATGCCCACCCAATTACGTGACCTGGAAGTAAACCCTAGTGAAGCATTACTATACCATCTTCCAGTTCAAAATAGAAGGTCTCAAATCTGTCATGGACCTACAGCCCATGTTCACTACTACTTAAAAGAAGTCATCCCAATTTTAAACGCAATGTTTTTTACCAAGGGGCCCTAATATAACCCAACCTGGGATTAACGGGGTTTCTAAGACCTGTCCCCGGTTGATTCTCATCCGAATATTGGCACATTGTGTCACCGAGTGTTTATCACTCAGTGTGATAGCCTGGTGGGGGTTGAACGTCAATCAGTCAATCACAGCCCATGTGTATGGATGTGTGAGTATACAACATAAGTGAGCATGGTAATGGTAAATGTAACTAGCTTAGCGACAGAAGTCACCCATGAAATAAATACCGGGTTTTCTTCCATGAGCTAGAAGTGAACAGATGGAGATGCGAGGTGACATGGAAAAGGAAGTTAAATCAGAGTAACTGGGGCTTTGGTTGAAGACTGACGGGGTTTCCAGATGTTTTCTTTAATATATCACATAGGTCTGTAAAGTGTTAGTGTGAGCTTTAGCCGCCGTCTCCGCATTTTGGGCATCACTCTCAAGCAACACCTTGACACTTGTCTCCTCATAACCCCAGGGCGGGTCTCAGCGACTGTCAGAGCAGCGGTTGCACAGGCATTGTGCCGCATGGGGCCAGGATGCTGGTTTGTGACTGTGGAGTCCAGGGAAAAGGGCAGCGACTGCAAAGGGTGCTCAGGAGCAGACAGGCTTGGGTCAAGAAGGGGGACCCATTTCAATATATGCTGTTACACTGAATGTACAGTAATGATCACCTAAAATTCTGTTGTGTGCACAAGTGTCTGTTGTTCTGTTAGGGATGCTCTCACTGATGACCATATGATTGTATCAATACAACTGTTTAATGTAAAGCAGTGATCTCCAACTTTTTTTTTTTTTAGGTTGCTCCCCCTTGAGTATATGGCAAGACCTACCATGCCTCCTCTCCCCCCCCCCCCCCCACTGGTTTACTGCGAGACCCCCACACCCTGAGTATACAGCAAGACCTCTACCCCCCACTACAACAAAATAGGATCAAAAAGAGGAGAAATGTGTTGCTAATCTATAAGTAAATGCAGGCGTTATCATATCAAATTAGACTTTTAACATTAGATATACAAACTATTTATGAAAACACAAACATCCTTGGCTTTTTATTTTAAAGTTTTAAAATATTATTCATGATTAAATTTTGTTTCAGCTGTTAATGTAAGGGAATATTACATGTACAAATGTACTCATTTTCAAAATGAGGCTCCCCCCGGAGCATAGGTCATTTTTTTTTTAAATCGGGCTCCACCAGGGAGCAAACTCAAGACCTTCTGATCGGCAGGCGAGTGTCTAGCCGCTATGCCACGGCGACTCCCATCTTTTATATATAGTCTCTATGAACTTACATGTCAGCTGCAGGTCCTTCATAAGACTGAGAATGAGACACTATGATTCCGCTGGGAACCCTGTTTCCAGATATCCATTTCTGCAGTTTCCTGCACAAGTGTAACAACATAACTGCTACACTGAGGATTCATAAACTCAGCAGAATAACAAACTCTGGTTCACAGTGTACACATAAATCGCTTGAAACCCATGAAATCGCTTGAAACCCATGAAATCGCTTGAAACCCATGAAATAATCAGGTAAACAAATTAATGTTCTGCTGGCATTCACAGATGCAGAAGAAATTATCAGGTACTGACTGGCACTTACTGATGCTGAAGGAAGTACTAACAAAGTACAGTAGGAAAAAAGTCCTGACTAAAAACCACAGGTGCAACAGAAAGTAGTAGTACTGATAGCAGTCCTAGGTGCAGAAGAAAGAGGTATTGACTGGCACTCATAGATGAGGAAGAAAAAAAGCAGGTACTGAGACTGGCTGGTGCTTTTCCGATGTGGGTTTTAGCGCCCAACTGGTGGGGGTTGGGAGAACCCACTGCTCACCTCACAAGTATGTCATTAGAGAAAATTAATTTTGCTGAAATCAGACATGTGGGGGCCGAAAGGTGCAGATATTGCAGCCTAGCTGTAAACCACAACACAATATGATAACTGGCATTCACAGATTCAGAAGAAAGGAGTAGAATGAGCAAGCTGAAGGAAGAAGTTCTCTTGTCTTTATTTTTGTCTTCTGCCTCTATGAGTGCTAATTAGCATATATTACTTAATTTGCTTATCATACAACCTGGATAACAACAGTCTAGTAAAAAAAAAAAATGGTATACATTCACATTCCAACAATATTTAAAGCTAATCACTCAACTCCACAAGTCTGGTAAACTCTGTTGTGTTGTAAGCATCACCATTCTTCTTCCTCTCCTCCTCTTCCTCTCTATGAGATCTCTCCATTGTTGTTTCAGTAATGTGTGTGAGGCCACCTTCAGAGAACTCGATGGTGTCCATATCCACAGCATCATTCATGTCTTCAACATCGTTCAATCTCATGAAACCAGAGTGTGACCTCCTGGTGCTAGTCTTGCCTCTCTGGTAGACGACCAGTTGAAGACACAGATACACCAGCGACATCAGAATTGATAATGTCAAAGTGACATACATAAGAGACATTCGGTTCACCTTCTCAAAAAGGTATCCCGTCATCACAGGAATTATCATCTCACCAACTCCCGACCCCGCTACAAAAATGGCCGTGGATCTGCCAGTGAGTGGATAGTAAGAATTCGCCCAGGAAATGGTGGTAGGGAATAACGATGACATGCCCAAGCCTAGGGTAACTGTTCCAATCCACAACATGGCAGAGTTTAACTGCACGAAGAAACTGAGTATCACTGCACCTAACAAAGTCAAACACAGGTTGCTCACCATCATACATGGTGGCTTGAAGCAGCGCGCAATAAAAATAGCAAAACACCGCCCCAGCGCGAGACAACCCCAGAAAACAGCTGTCAGCAACGCTGCTGAGGAGGGGGTCCAACGGTCCATGGGATAGTACACTGCAAAAGTGGTTAGAAGGCCCCCAAAAGTCACTTCCATACCGACATATGTGAAGAAGAATAGAAACAGCAGCATGATAAGCAACGATATAAAACATTTTGTGTCTGGGGGCCTGGTCAGATCTTCATGTGACCGTGACAGAGCAGGGGAGGATGGTGCACGATCTTTGCAGTATAGAAACAAAAACAGTCCTGCATTGACAGCCAGGAGCAATCCGATGAGTGAGTAGGCAATCTGTATCTTAGACATGCCTATTACAGCTGCAAACATGTCGCTAAAAAGATCGTTTTCAGACCTGCTGGATATGTTTTTGCCCGTGCTTGTGTTAACAGTGGACAAATCATCTACGGCTTCAAAAGGCTTTGTTGCTGACTCTGGGGGGTTTGTTCTGGTCTCTGGTGTAACACTTGCTGTGGCAGTTGTTACAACTGCGGTAGTGGTCACTGAAGAAGTTAAAGTTGAAGATACAGACGGCATCACTGTTGTGGTAGATGTTGTATCTGTTGTTGTAGCAGACGTGGATGTACTCACTGTCGTTGTTGATGTGGGTGTGGTTGTACTGACTGTTGTTGATGCTGTGGTTGTACTGTCTGTTGTTGATGATATGCTAGTACTGTTTGTTGTTGATGCTGTGCTAGTAGTGTTTGTTGCTGTTGCTGTGACTGAGCCGTTTGTTGCTGATGTTGTGCTCGTATCCTCATTTAACTGTGTGTCATTTCTGCCAGTATCAAGTGAAGGCGCATGTGCAGTGGCAAGAGAGGATGTCTTATTTGAGTCCAGATCCTTGGAGTCATCTCCTGCTGGTATCAAGTCCTTTGTGCTTTTTAAATTCTCTGTCGGAGAGTTATTTATAAGATCTTTCAGCTTTGGAATTATTTTTTCAGAATCAGCTAACTGCCCATTTAGACCGCCACCATCAATGAAGTTTGGCTTTTTGGGTAGCACTGTAGTCGTGGTAGAGGTTACTGCAACGGTGCTGTTCATGTCAGCTATCTTATCCAACGTTTGAGTAATATTACCTATACCTGTGCCATTTATGGCATCAGAGGAGTTTGATCCATTTATGGCATCAGAGGAGTTTGATTCTTCCCGCTTGTATCGAAAAAACATGTCTTCCACACTGCGTCTGCTAGTCACATCATGTCTGCTGTTCTTTTCAATGCCAAAATATTTGGAAACACTGGAGTAACTGGAGACACTGGAGTCATTATGAGGTGGTTTTATAAACTCTTGAGCTATAACAGAAACCTTAGGATTGGTAAAATGATATCCATCCTGCAAATGTTTATCAGAATCAAGTGGTGAATGTTGAAAGGTCAAAGAGCTATGCGCCGGTTTATGGTAAAGTATATAATCTACATCCCAGAATGCATGGTGATGAAAACCTCTAACAAATCGGCTTTGGCCTGAAAGTGACCGCAAGGAAGGAAGCTTAAAGTTAACCGGATAGTAATCCACCTCTGATATGTTGTTGGAAAGCACAATAGGGTCCACAAGAAATGGCCGAGCCATCAGAGGAGCAATAAAAGCACCAACGCCAAAGGCAAAGTGCAAGGCCTGCATAAATGGAGCACTCTTGTGGGTCCAGATCTTAATGCAGAAGATATTTCCACCTGTAAGAAGATCAAGTGACAAACATCAATACAAAAGAGAAATAGAACTATTCAGCTCCCCAACAACAGTCACAAGTAACAAACATCAATACAAAAGAGAAGTAGAACTAGTCAGCTCCCCAACAACAGTCACAAGTGACAAACATCAATACAAAAGAGAAATAGAACTATTCAGCTCCCCCAACAACAGTCACAAGTGACAAACATCAATACAAAAGAGAAATAGAACTAGTCAGCTCCCCAACAACAGTCACAAGTGACAAACATCAATACAAAAGAGAAGTAGAACTATTCAGCTCCCCCAACAACAATCACAAGTGACAAACATCAATACAAAAGAGAAGTAGAACTATTCAGCTCCCCAACAACAGTCACAAGTGACAAACATCAATACAAAAGAGAAGTAGAACTATTCAGCTCCCCCAACAACAGTCACAAGTGACAAACATCAATACAAAAGAGAAGTAGAACTATTCAGCTCCCCAACAACAGTCACAGGTGACAAACATCAATACAAAAGAGAAGTAGAACTAGTCAGCTCCCCAACAACAGTCACAAGTGACAAACATCAATACAAAAGAGAAGTAGAACTATTCAGCTCCCCCAACAACAGTCACAAGTAACAAACATCAATACAAAAGAGAAATAGAACTATTCAGCTCCCCCAACAACAGTCACAAGTGACAAACATCAATACAAAAGAGAAGTAGAACTATTCAGCTCCCCCAACAACAGTCACAAGTAACAAACATCAATACAAAAGAGAAATAGAACTAGTCAGCTCCCCAACAACAGTCACAGGTGACAAACATCAATACAAAAGAGAAATAGAACTATTCAGCTCCCCAACAACAGTCACAAGAGACAAACATCAATACAAAAGAGAAGTAGAACTAGTCAGTCACTGACCCCCCAATACAAAAGAGAAGTAGAACAGTCACACAAGTGACAAACATCAATACAAAAGAGAAATAGAACTATTCAGCTCCCCAACAACAGTCACAAGTAACAAACATCAATACAAAAGAGAAATAGAACTAGTCAGCTCCCCAACAACAGTCACAAGTAACAAACATCAATACAAAAGAGAAATAGAACTAGTCAGCTCCCCAACAACAGTCACAAGTGACAAACATCAATACAAAAGAGAAGTAGAACTATTCAGCTCCCCCAACAACAGTTCATCTACAAAAGAGAAGTAGAACCCCAAACAATACAAAACAGTAGAACAAGTAACACAACAGGTCAATACAAAAGAGAAGTAGAACTATTCAGCTCCCCAACAACAATCACAAGTGACAAACATCAATACAAAAGAGAAGTAGAACTATTCAGCTCCCCCACAACAATCACAAGTAACAAACATCAATACAAAAGAGAAGTAGAACTATTCAGCTCCCCAACAACAGTCACAGACAAACATCAATACATTCAGCTCCCCAACAACAGTCACAAGTGACAAACATCAATACAAAAGAGAAATAGAACTATTCAGCTCCCCCAACAACAGTCACAGGTGACAAACATCAATACAAAAGAGAAATAGAACTATTCAGCTCCCCAACAACAATCACAGGTGACAAACATCAATACAAAAGAGAAGTAGAACTATTCAGCTCCCCAACAGTCACAGGTGACAAAATAAGTATTCTGGCTAGAAAGCCATTATCAAACAAACAAATGGACAATGATAAAACTGCTACCTCTTCTTCGTCTTCACATTCACCAGCTGTAAACTCTGGCAGAAAGTTCTGGGCGTATGTCTGGCCCTATACTTTGGTCCCAAGTGTTGCATGCACATCTGGTTTTTCAGATCTGGCTTATCTGTGTACAGACAGACTCATGGTTTCTTGCCTCTCAGACAGAAGTACTCTGACTTCGAACGATATTCAACTAGTCAAAAGGCTAAATGTAATGAGATTTGAGGGGTGAAAAATAAGTGGGGGGGGGGGGGGGGGGGAAAGGGGGTTAGGGCACTGTTAATTTACTGAAGAATGATATCCTCTGATGCCCTTGATTCCCCCAATGCAACAGACACTTAAACAGCTAATCTCAAGGTAGCTCAGTTCTTTGTTCTCTCTATCTTTTTGAGGAATGTCCTCTGTTCCCTTTTATTAACTTTTTTGTTCGTGGCAGGGAGGGGGAGGGGAGGGGGGGGGGGGGGAGCAAGTTCTAGTTTCTCAATGTGTTTCCTATAAAGCACACTCTGACTTTGAAGGAAGCTCCCAATTAATCAACTCTTACAACATGCTTTTGGGTAGGCAGTAGGTCTATTCTTGTTTTCCCTATAACAGGGCCCAGGCACCCACACAGAAAAGATGGTAAGATCAAAATCCTTACCTGTGTCCAGTACTCCTAAAGCCACACCCTGTACGCAAACAAAAGCGGACAGGTAAATCAGGGCAGTGCACCAAGGAATACTAGCCGTGGCTACGGCGACGGTAGCCATGGTGTAAAACAGCAAAATCTGCTGGTCAAAGAAATCAAACAGCACTCCACCAGTCAATGACCCAATAAGGTAGCCAACAGATCGGGCTGTGAAGATGAAAGTCATGTGTTCTATACTGCGGTTGACTCTCTTGCCAAGATCAAGTAGAGTGGGACCTGGTATAGCTATACATAATCCCTGTGGAAGACGAGAACACATGGTGAAGATAACCTTAAGGGCTGAGCAAAGTATTACATAACATAACCCTTGATCCACCAGGGTCGTGGAGGTGTTTCAATGGAAGCACTAGCATATAAAACCTGCCACCTTTCTCTTTCCGCTTGAAGAATAAGTGTTTGATAACTTAGTCCTGTCTGTTTCCTGATGTTATTGTAATGAAATATAGGCAGAAAGGGGTTAAATGAATAAAGCATACATCTCAGATCAGCATAAAGGCCTATCCCTCACTGGTTGGCATGACAGAAAACAGTGATTAGAAAGCTGGCCGACCAGCGATACAGATAAAACCAGATGCACTGTGACCAGTTGAATAGATACGTTTATCCAAACGTGACCACCAGAGACAGATGACAGGGGAGTGATTGAGAACCCACGCGGATAGAGTAGGAAGCACGGGAATGAGTAGGAGGGGAAAGTTAGTGGCGAGCGGCTGGAGGGAGCAGACAAGACAGTTAAAGCAAGCAGCTTGAGAGGGCAGTTGGGAAAACTAGAGCTGTGCTTCGTTAGAAGGAATATGTTAAACTTGGAGTTTAGCTAGAACAGTGATTAAGGAACTCATAGAGAGACATAAGAATAGCCAGTAACAAGATAATGAAGTGTTCCTATACTATTGGTTATGGAAATGATTCAACCTGTTTGTCTTGACAATATTGTTAATAAACAAACTCCTGTGTAAATTGTTACATCATTGGCCTTGTTGTTAAATACGATTCAAGAGAGCTACGAACTATATCCCTAATACACGAATTAGGCACATCTATTTATTGGGGGATGTGAAGATACAACTGTGTCACATTATCATTTCAGATTCTTCTTCGCCCTCCTCTTTTACCACTATCTCCCAGTATTCCTTGAAGTCCAGTCTTTGCAATCGTATCATGTGTCACCACATGCCCAAACCAAGCTAGCTGGCGACATTTCACCACTGCCAAGAGAGGCTCCTGATGTCCTGCAAATCTGTATATTTTGTCTCTGACATATTTGTTAGTTTTGTATTCTAAATAATAAATTTGTAAAATGCATCTACAGCGTTTAAATTCTTAATGTAATAATATGTTGTTCACTTGGAAGACTTTTCTACTTTTTCATTCCTCTTCACTGGGTTCACCAGCTGTAAACTCTGTTTGAGTACTGGTTATCCGTCCCCTTTACGACTTTGGTATTGTCCCCTTTACGACTTTGGTATTGTCCCCTTTACGACTTTGGTATTGTCCCAGGACTTGAGTTTTGCATGCACATCTGCTTTACTGATCTAGTGTTAATGTTCGGAGACTGTTTGTACCTCACCTCTCAGGCAGATGCACTCCAACTTCTAATTAGGGTCAAGAGCATGCAACACTCAAGTTCTGGAACACGACTCAAGTCTAGAGGTGGATGAACAACCAGAAGTTTCCCCCAGAGTTTACAGTAGGTGAAAGCAAAGAAGAAGATATATGAGTATATCCAAACCAGATGTGTGACAAGCTCACACAATTAACTCTTAATTCTATTTTGTTTACATATTATGGTGACAGAAAAAAACAGGCCTATGCAACAACAGGACAGAGTTATGCAAAGAAAAACAGAGGAAAATGAGAGAACAGTCTTGGCATTCTTTTGTTGCAGAAACAAAGTAGAGTGGTGCCTCAGTATATGTCCATCTTGATATACATCCTCTATAGATGCAATAAAGTGTGCCTGGTATACCACATTTGCTTGAAATATGACTTGCATGCTAAAACTTGTAGAAATTCAAATCAGTCATGACAATGCACACTACAACTGTTTACCTCTTTCATTAACAAGAAATATTTTCCAAATGGATAGATGTCAGAAACTTTGCAAGAAGTATTCCCCCCCCCCCCCCCTTCCAATAAAGGGCAAAAACACAGCAACAGCACTGTCGTAACAGCACTGTGTGAAATTTCTGAAACATCAAAAGGAAAAGGCAGAAGCAAAGTTCTTTGTACAGAATTTTAGTAAAATTCAAACAAGGTGAGCCTGAACCAGGTCCAAGTAGTGAAAAGAGCCAGAACAAAACTAGAATTTCAGATTCCTGCCAATTTTAGAAAGGGAACTCTCCGTCCAAATAACAACATCTCAACCCCCTCTCTTCTGTGCACTATCCCAGTAGGCCCTTAACTCTTCTCTGTAAGGTAAAGAGAGGTTACATTTTCAATTATTTCATCTAATTACCTTTGTATTTAAGCACCTTAGTATGAAGCAGTGTTTGAATTATTTTATATAACCTTATCAATGTATAATATAAAGCAAGTAAAGATCCCTTTTCACACCTTTAGGCGTATCGGGCAATATGGGAAGAGCATCCATATTTTTACAGATCAATCGGCCCTGGGGGGGGGGGGTAATATGGTCAGCATTACGCCAGCCCTCTTTACTTTCCCAGGACATACAACCTTGTACCCATATTAGGCTGGGTTGACCTGCAAAACCCCACACCATGATAAAAATGCAGCCAGCAGTGGGTTTCGATTGCGGTATGCTGGAATTATGAGTCGGACTCTCAACGCTTAGGCTACGGAATGTATAATATGCCAATAAAAAAAAAATTTTTTTTACAATTCATGGGATAGGATTAATAATTCTCCCTTTTTTCTTATAGGAAAATACATTTGTTGTACATCCCATTTGCTATAAATCTGAGGATCCGGAATGGATTAAGAACATATATGTATGAATGTTTGATAACAAGATGAGAAGAAGCATACATTTTACAACAGGCTAAAATGATGCAAGTCGGCTCTGTGGCTAAGTTGATGCGAACGCTTCGCTTCGTAATGCCGGGATGCCAGGTTCGATCCCAGCTGCGGGCAATGAGCCTTGCAGTGGTTTCGACAGTGGTATCAAGAAAGCCGAACGTCCAGAAAGCAATGGCAAACTAAGAAAAGTAAAGTAAAGATCCCTTTTCACGCCTTTCAGCGCATCGGGCATATGGGCAGAGTGTCCCATATTTTTACAGACCATCAGCACTCTGTGGGTAATGTGGTCAGCATTACGCTGGATGTAAATTGCCTAGAGAAACCACACAACAGCCAGGGGCTGTTAAGGTTGGTTCTGCAACGTCCTGTAAAGGATACGCAACTAACTTTTTAAAGATGATGCAATGACAACAATGCTGACGAAATTAGTAATCAGTATACTTTGGATTCTAAAATTAAAATTATTGCTAGAAAACTTACCAAACAAAAGAAAGACATTGACAATACTGCTGTTTTCAGCAGCTTGCGCTTCCATTCCTTCTTTTCAGACACAGCCTCATCTCTACGACCAAGCAATCCCTCTTGGTCAAAGAGTGTGTCCTCTTCCTCCTCTTCCATCATGTTGGCTCTAAGGCCAAGTGTACCTGTTGACAAGATTTCACTCAGCTTTACTTACAGTTTCACTTATCTCAAGTTATCAAATATTTCTCTTTGACTGTTAAAGGCTTCTCTCATCTTTAACTAATGAACACGTGGAGGCAGTTGCGGCGAAATGCCAAAAAAGGACTCAATGCTTTCAAGATTGTGGCAGCAATGGACATGGAACAAAGAATGCTGTTTACAATGTTCCAGCATGTGATTGTGTCGGTAATAGATTACGGACTTGGAATGCTTACCGTATCAAACAGTCAGCTGATAAAACTTGAACGCATACAGAATGAAGCCAGGCAGGTAATTCTGGGATGCACAAGAGATACCCCAGTAGTTTATATGTGATATATACTTGTACTGCCTACTATTGCAGATAGGCTTAAAGTTCTGCAGGCAGTCAGATCTCAGAGTAGCTTCAGACACGAAGCACCTCCTGCATGAAACCCTGGGTAGAGCTAAGGGTCACATACTGAAAAGAGAAAGGTCTTGGATGGTGCAAACTGAAGACACAATTGGACATGTGTGCAGGCTTGATAAATTTGAGCGAGGAGAGGAGTGGGTCAAGGTGTCCGTACAAGTTTCAGACGTGTAGGGTTCTAATCACTTTAGGTCATGAGTGCAGAGACTGGGCAGCTGGTGCTGCAAAATCAGAAGTTCAACAAATGATTTATGACAATTGCCACCTAGGTGATGTGATTATCTATACAGATGGATCTGTGTTAAGGAGCAGATGAAGTGCCTGGGGGTTCATAGCAAAGTTGAATGGATGTGGCTTAGTGCAGCAAAGCTTTGCATATGATATCACAACGTCTAGTTTGAGAATGGAGGTGGAGGCAGTCTCTGCTGCCTTCTGCTGGCTTGAGAATCAGCTGTACATACATGCTGTGATTGTAACGGACTCACAGAGCATGTTGAGAAAGGTGAAGACAGGTATGCTTCATGCAGAGTGGCAAGCTTCACTTCAGTTGTGCCGGGTAGTTAGCATCCTTTGGATATTTTCTCTGGGTCATGCCATTGTGTTGGGAAATAAGCAGGTGGATAGACTGGCTGACTATGCACCACTTGGTGGTGAATTGATATATGACAAGCTACATATTGTGAGGGCCCTTTTGGAACGAGTGAACAGAGGAGATGCGCAATGATCTAAGGAGAATTGCGCTGTGAGAAGTTACCAGGGCATGTGGTCGACGCTCAACAATAAGGGAGAGGATAAGACAGATGTACAATCAGATGGTAACTGGTGCCATCAGAATTGGAACTCTTCACTTGCTGCTGAAGATGGGGATGAAGCACTTATGGGAGTGTCCTAAGTGGTGTGATGTCGATTCTCAATTCAACATTCAACATTAAGTAACGAAGGTTCTTCTCATCTTTAAGTATTAAAGGTTTGTCTGATGTTTTAGTGTCAAATTTTTCTCTATAATCTGTAAGTATTAACTCTTTGAGTCCCAAGAAACGCATCATACGTTCATAGGTTCCTACCTAGAAGCCCAATGAACGCATAATGCACCGATTTATTACTTTCTTTACTACCCCCTGGGCCTGTGATGCTAGACCCCCTGGGACTCAAAGAGTTAAAGGTTTCACTCACCTTTTCATGTTAAATGTTTACCATATCTTTGAGTATTGAAGTTTTCTTTCATCTTTTTAAGTGTTAAACGTCTCTCTCATCTTTAAGTCTTAAAGGTTTCTCTCATCTTTAAGTACTAAAGCTTTCTTTCATAAGTATTAAAATGGTTTCTCTCATCTTTAAGTATTAAAGCTATCTCTCATCTGAAAGTATTAAAGCTTTTTCTAAACTTCAAATATGAAAGGTTTATCTCATCTTTAAGTAATGAAGTTTTCTCTCATGTTTAATTATCAAAAGTTTCTCTCATATTTAAGAAATAGCCAACTCTACAATAATTATATGACTGCATCAAAGTGATTTCATTTTTGTGTATACTAATATTGATAGACTTGCTAAAGCAATAGCCTTAAAACAGTAAAGCTGAAGTATCTTCTTTCATTCGCTTTAAATACATTATCTATTACAATGTTGTATCTAGTATAAACTTCATGGTACCTACATCTACAATGTTGTATCTAGTATGAAATTCATTGTTTCTATATCTACATTGTTATATCTAGCATGAACTCCACTGATCCTATAGAATTTGTGTGTGGCATCCTGATTGTTGTGGTACGCCTCCTGGTTGGTTGCCTTTGACTTCAGCACCTTATTTTGCTTATTACGGTGAGCTAGATCAACGGACAAGCATATTGGACCAAACCATCAGGTGAAGTATCAAAAGTGAAATTTCGGAACAACAACATAATCTTCATGAATGAATCGTACACGATTATACTGAAAACAGATACTGGTATGTGTGAATTACTTTTTTATACCTAGGATCAAATAAGGATCCAATCTTTATATTTATTTCAATCAACCAAACAAGTGCTGTCACCACAATGAAGGTAGGTTGCAATGAATCTTAAACACAGTCTCATGTCTTGGTAGTGCACTCTCAGATTCCTGCCTATCCGTCTCTTGATGTTGTCCTTCCACTTGTATTACTGTCTACCTCTTGCTCTCTTGTCTTTAACTATTCCCTCCAGTATGGTGTATTTATTTCAGCAATTTCATTCCCAATTCCCAAAGTTTTTTTGGTTCTTAATTTATAACGTACCCCAAACACGAAATCCCCATGGTAAATCCACAGCTGACCTGACAGTCCATTATTTCAAGGGGTGCAAGTCTGCTGTTGTTTGGTGTTTTTTTTTTTTTTGAGTGTTTATCTAGTGTCTTCTAATCCTAACCCTAACCCTAAACTTGGCTGTAGAGAAATCGCGAGAAACTACAACCTGAACACCCTAGAATTTATTGGGAATGTCTCCCGTGACGTTGTCGTGATGTCAGGGGTAAGTTATACATTAAGTACCGTTTTTTTGTGAGTGACCATGTCTGGCCCTGGCAGCATAGGGTGGGAATGAATATGCTTTGTACGAGATGTTTCACTGTGCTGATTGGAATTGCCTTATGCTGTTAGAGGTGGTGGTGGGGGAGGCTAGCTGTCCCAATACTTGCCTTGCTTTACTGCATTGGATGTCAATTTCTTCGTCCAGTTTACCATCTTCAGTGAATGTTGTCCCAAGATATTTAAACTCCTTGTCACCTTTCACCCCAACACATCTGATTTCAGCAAAGTCCTAATTAGTGGCCTTTTGCAACATGCTTTTTAAGTGGTAGTGGATATCTTCTTTTTTCTCCTTAACCATGTGGTCCTGTAACCCACAAGGTGAGTAAGGGTTAATATGAACAATGGTTCAAAAACTATTCCTTCCCACGCTGCTTTAATAGATCAAAAAACTACTCCTCCCTTCTTCCCATAAATTATGGATCCAAATCTATTCCACCCCATGCTGCTTTAATGGATCGCAAACTATGTCTCCCCATGACACTTATCGTAACGTCTAGACACTGCTATCCATCGAGCAATAACAGCAGAACTGGACACTGATGATGATAGCCTAATTGTTTTACTACAGGCTCTCAAAGGAATATTTTTCGCATTGAATAATTTGGGACCGGTATTCCGAAGAGTGCCGAATAAACTACAAATAGCGGTCCCAAATTATAAAGGCCAAAAATATACCCTAACAGGGCCTCAGTCACATGTAAATTGTGGACTTCTGGCGACTACCGCCACCGCCGAGGGTATCTTCCACGCCGCTGCGTGCGGCGTGGAACGGGGCTAAACTAGATGGCTGGGATTCACAAGCAGCAGCTACCGCATCTCCTGCAGCTTCCTTCATTCTATTTGCTTGTGAGTCCCAGCCATGTGACTGAGGCCCATTAGGGTTTATTTTCGGCCTCGTTTTTGGGACCGTTATTGTTATTTGGAGGATAGCCAACTATTTTGTTTTATTTTTTTACAACCAGACAGACGAGGCTGTCAGAATCTATCTAGTATCTGTGCTCTACTTTCACTACCTATAGATCTGCCCAGTCTCTTAAGTATGTATCTAATTTAACTGACAACCATAGCTGTCTCACCCACACCTACCGTCTAGCTAAACGACACTTACACCTACGCAAAGCCAGACTAAACAATTTAATAAACAACATTGGTCACTGTGGGACCGGTGTCAGTGTCACAGTAGTGTAGTCACACACACTCACACTCACTCAAACTGTCCTGTCGCTCACTTTGTTGAACCAGGATTTATGCTTTTTTTTAAATAACTGATTGACTAATACAACAATTGTTAATTATTTTAAATGTTGTATCCTACATGAACTTACAGCAGATTTACAAGACAACAACTAAACGTCAAATCCTAATCTATTCGGCATTTCCTACACTGCGATAGGCTTGCCACCAGGAGTCCATTATGCTAACGAAGGGAGATCACTCTGCTCTGCATCTCGTCGTCAAGATCATTCTGATTCCCATCCGAGCTCGGGGGTCTCCGTGGCGTTGGCGGCTAAACGCCCGTCTGCCGATCGGATGGTCGTGGTTCTCGT